TACTACACACACACACACACACACACACACACACTATTTATTATATATATATATATATATATATATATATAGCCTCTTTTGCAGTTAATACTTGTAATTATAATAGTTTAAATGTGAAAAGAAATTGAATAATAATCGATATATTTGTGATAGTTGTATTGAACATCCATAGTTATAGCGATATAGAGGTACGTCCTTGTACATTATCTTAGAATACATCTTTGTACAATATAAAATGGATGCGAGAAAGCGAACGAAACGAAAATAGCGAGTAGGTTGGCTGCATTGTTTCTTGATCATGCTGCTTTTACTAAAAACAAATTCAGATTTTGTATTGGAAGTATATTTTAAGGATTTATTGGCTAAGTTACTGCCAATAACTATTATCGTGCTGACGGTAGAAGTGTTTACCCGGTTGTTGAAATGATCGCGTTATGTTGTTTGCTCGTGCCACAAATAAAAAGAGCAGGAAAATATATTATTGCTAATATATAATTATTAATATTATTATTATTTTCACATTTACATTATTACTCTCGTTATATTTACATTGCTAAATGATTAATATTACCATTATTATTATATTCAGGGATCTTTATTATCTAGTTATCACTAATTATTATTATTACGAAAAATCAGCGAGCATGATATTACTGTTGCATTAACGCGCGATTATAACGCTTTTCATGCCGAAGAATTTTTTAAGGAGAGAACGAGAGCCATACGTAGAAACTGAGTAAGTTCTATAGAATTTCGTTTGACAATTATTAGCCGCGGACCTAGAGCGATTTTTATCACGCTAATAATTATTTGAAGTTCATTTAGCTTCTTGGAATTAAAATGGGAGCTCGATAAATGACTTAGGAAAACATTTGCTAAACAAATATGGTAGAGTTCAAGTTCAGTAAATTTCGCTTATTCATCATTTTTTGCTTTTATTCATTTCTTAGAATCAAAAATTTACTTATACAAAGTTATGCACTCTTTCAAATAAAAAAATTATTTCTTTCAGAAATCAAAGTGATAAAAATCGTGTATGGATCTCGTATTCACCATCGTGAAACTATCGTCATGAATGTAGAATGTAATAGAGTCAGAACAATTTATTTTTTCTCAATATTAAGACGACGTCATCCCTTTACTCTCCTTATCTTCTGCAGCTTACAAGCTTCTTTCTTATTCTTTCTGTATTTAAGTAAGTGGAAAATAATTTGCGGCACGTATCTCGCACTCGCGTTTTTCTAATAATTCAGACTAATTTTCTTGGATAATTAACGTAGTAAAAAAACAAAAATAAAGAGAAGAAACGGAAATCGAATTGCAGATTATGCCGAATCTTTTTCGCATTTTGTTCGAATAGTCAACGAGTTTTTCCCTTTAACTGTGATATTCGCGTTAACTGAGCACGTTGGATTTCCACTATCTCTGGAATCGATTCGTAGAATTAGCGTTTCCTTCTTTTTCCCTTCGTTATTGAATGCGCGCGTTGAAGAAATCGCGCGATGATGTTAAATTGACATTCATCGATCCGCAGATCCCTTTAAAATTTCCGTCTTGTTCCATTTCCTTCCACTTGAGAGACAAATCAGATTATTTTTGTTGCATTTCCTTTTGTGCATATTGAAAAAAAAAAGAAATAATTGTCAAATATTCTGTTAAAATTCGTAACTAAATGCATTTGATAATTTTTTTCAATGCAACACATTGCCGATTTCGTCTCGATTTTTCCTTCTACTTTTTTCCGTTAAATTCTGAATTCTGAATCCTGCAAGTTCTTCTCTGTAAGCTTACTAACTAAATTAATTACTAACAATTGTGCAACTCTTGTTATTTGACGTCGCAAAGTTTCCCTGTGGCCCTCGAATCGCGCCGGCGCGATGGATATAGAAAGATTTTTAACGCGGACCTTACATGATCAATAATACTGATCAGTAATATTGGATCAATAATACTGATAGTATGCATTAATATTTTTACAATCTTATATTTTATGATCAGTATTATTGATGATATTTCAGCTCAGTTTTATGTATACATTAGCCAATTTAATCTTGAGGAAAAAAAAAAGAAACAGATATATAAAAGCTCTCCAAAAACATAAAATAAAATAATACACAAAAATATACAGAGTGTTTTCTGTAACTCGATCATTTAGAATATTTCTGTTGTTTTTAATAATATGAAAAAATATCAAAGGGAAAAATAGTTCGTTTTGAAAAGGCAAATATTATGATGGGCGGCGGGATTATTTTTTTAATGCCTATTATTATATATTATTATATTACGAGATTTTATGTTTAATGTCATCATATTCTATGTATTTAAATTTGTTTTTTTTTTTGTAAATTTTATTATACTAATGAAAATATACCATACCAAAAAAAAAAAACATTAATGATCTCGAAATGATCAGGAAACATCTGTGTACTTTGTCATTATATTGTGATATATTTGTTATTGTGGAATTATACTGTTAAAAATATCACGTACTTTCTTCACATAATCAATATAATCAGTATCACTGTCAATACTCCTACATACAATACTGATGCTCGAGAATCAAAAAATCCGCATCGTTGTCAATATTTTATAACAATCCATCAATATTAACTACACACGATCAATAATGTTACTACTTTGTTGATACTGATAATATTATTGGCCGTGTAAGGTTCGTATAAGAGCTTTTATAAGGGCAAATATTTTCACGTGTATCACTTTTATCGAGAAAGGATAGAGAGGAAGAGAGAGGAAAAGAGAGAGAGAGAGAGAGAGAGAGAGAGAGAGAGAGAAAGCGTGAGTGTGTATTAATTAAGATGACGATATATCTACAACGAGATGCAGAAAATAAATCAACAAACGATACGCTGTATGGAACTACCTCGGTAATAGCGTCTTTGTTTATTACTCCTTCAATCATCCATATCACATACGTGATTAACAAATATCGTATAGATACATTTTTAAGAGCACAATTTCTAAACCAATAAAATTGGAAATTTAATTAATCCTTCTCGCAAATCAAGCTAAACGTTACTTTTTTTTTTTTTAATATCGAGCTTTGTTTCCAATACTATTTTTCCAACATTATTTTTTTTGGATCCCAGCCACAATTATACACGTCAAGATATTTAATATCGAAAATTTTTGTTAGATCTTTGTCTCAGTCTTTTTTTAGCAAAAAATATTTCATTTTCGAGTTCGAAATTTGCTTCTTTTAAGATAATTAAAATTATTACAATTATTTTGAATAAATCTATTTTGTTAACACTCATATTTTTTAGAATCTATAAAATTCTATTGCCGAAAGTAATCGAAATTTCTTTTGAATCCCAAAGTAGGAAACTATTTACCACTTTCGGATGCAAAGTGGGAATTCGATGCGTATAAAATAAATCCACCGCTATAGAATCTACAAACGTTTTTAGAAACTAATGTCAAAAATAGCAATTAAATTTGGACTCGGTTATCCAGAATAGTCAACGACGTTGTAACAGCTCCGTTTTGCTATCCTGATAAAGGGAAATTCCCGAAGCCGAACTACCACAGTGGTAACAATGGTCAATACCGGCTTCCTGCATTCTCGGGCGGGTGATTTCACAGCGAGGAATCAGAGGTGGGAGGGAGGGAGGGGGAGGCGATCAGGTGGGGCTCTCGTTTTTGCAAGAAGCGAGAATCACAAGGTTTTGTGTTTCACGCGTATGTTATCGTGTGCGAGTCGCCGACGTTTGCCGTCGAAAATGTGCCGATCTTAACGAAACGAGGTATGCGCGCATACCTCGTCGCTTCCTTATCCGCCATGATACCACCAGTTCGAGAGGCGAAATGTCGCGGAAACCGTCGTCGTCGTACGTTCCTCTGCTTCTTTGCGCGGCGATCATCGTCAACGGTAAGTCGCGCGCTTCGCGATCTGCGCGATCTCCTCTCGCGAGGACCGCCGTTCTTTATCTGTCTCGTTTTGGATTACCCGCAACATTGGACATTTATCGCCACGAAGTACATTCGTTTTATTTAAAATATCGTTTCAAAATCTGCGTTCTACGTGGTACGAAAGTAAAAATGTAACCGGCGCGATAAAGATTAATTAAATTAAATTATTTCGAGAGATTCGACACTTTGCGACAGCTCTGTGGCTTATTTTGTAAATGTTAATTATCTAAGAGATGTTAATTATTTGAGAAATGTTAATTTTGATTAAATTAATATTTTGTTAATACAGGCAGCGCTTGAGAAGATTAATTAATTAAAGCAGAGCTGGATTCGACTTTGCAGTAGCCTTATACCTTACTTTTTGAATATTAATTTTGATGATATTTTGTTATAATTAAGATTAAATTATATTTCCATAAATTTTTAAGAATAATCTAAAAATTCTTTTACTTTAGATTCATTAGTTAAGATTATTTTAGTTTGTAATTTGCATCAGATTTAAGATAGAATGAAATTTCCCATAAATAATAAAAATTTTTTGTATCGTATTATTGATTAGCAATTTGCCAGCTAAACAATCGGTCTTAAACATTCATAATTTGCATTAAATTTTAGGATAAAAATATATATTATTCTGATTTTTCAATTATTTTTCCAAAAAATTACAAATAGAAGACTATTTTGAATTGTAACACGAATCATTTAAATCGGCTTTTAGATTAAATTGAAAATGTGATAACTTGACATCCGCGAGATCGCAAAGAGTTAATGTTATCAATTTTCTATGGGAGAATTTAATTATGAATTAAATAATACGTAACATGATGGGAAGACTTATTTCCAGACTTATTTCCAGATTTAAAAGAGATTTACGAAGTCACGTCCAAAAATATCCGTCTTATCTATTCTTGACATTAAGATATCTTGTCGATCTATTTATACGTACTTTCATTTTTGTCCATAGATCTGCAAAAAAATAATCTTCACTTCGCAAAAATATGACTTTGGATTTTGCTCTTCTGTCACACAGCGGAATGCGCAGGTAACTTTTCGGATCGTTGTTTGGATCTGGTCAGACTCGACGTCGACGACATCGAGAATCATTTGGACGCGCTGAATCTCACGGATGTGCCTACCGTGAAAATGATGACCGCCGGATTTAAGTGTCCGATCCCCACCCTGCCTTTTGGCACGCTGAAATCGGACTGGGCTAGACTCTTGTTGCTTCAAGAGGCGCAACCTGAGGGGTCGATCATCAGACTCAAACTCGTTCGACTAATGCGAATCTTGATAATCGCTTATTATCAAATGGAGGAGCGTATTGACATCGTGGATTCCGAAGACGCGAAGATCGCAAAGTAAGCTGAGCAAAAAGGAACCATGTCGAGAACCCCATCCTTCCCTTTCCTCTTTTAATTTTTGACAGCGAAATTATTTATCGGAAGATAGATTCCGATTTTTCTTTTTCAAAAAAAAATAGCGTCTTCGTCTTCGTTCTGTTAATCGTTTCACGTGATTCTTTTAGCGCGTATCGAGTAATTGCTCCGAGCAATTGCTCTCCTCTGTCACGAGCGATTACGTCTGTCTCAGCGACGCGTTAAAATAGCGCATACGTTCGCTAAATATTTGATTTGCAGAAACGTGACGTGAAGTTTCTCCTCGCGAAAACTCTAAGTGCGCGAATCGCATGATTCTTTGGAAATGAGCTTTAACAATTCAGCAGTAGCTTATTTGCCGAGGGTAAGTGCAGTTGGAGACACGTTCTCTTGTAATCAAACTCGCTCGAACTTTAGTCCAGTACACGTTTCGCGTCTATTTAAGTTAGGATTTAAGCTGAGAGGAACGAGAGGAACGAAGTCTTGGATGATGAATTTATCAAATCGCTACGGCCGTTACGAAGACCGGGGGGGTCTTGGGTCCACGCAAGTTTTGCGAGTTTTGTAAATACGCAAGACGTTTTAATCGTGTCCAATTTCGTGTCGGACGGCTCCTTCGTCTCAGTTTCTCAACACGAAAACGGTCCCCGCCGCCGATAACTTCTCGGTATCTCGCGAAGAGTCGCGACAATTCACAAACGCCTTTATATATTTTTTATAAGGAAAAAAAATGAACTCTTATTTTCTTTCTCTCTCTTTTTTTATCTAAAAATCTGTCGAATTATAATGCGAGGTAAAGCTGCTTGCACATGCTGATTTTATTTTTAGGAAATCTCCGATAGCAGAAACGAAGATAGCTGCGAAGAAGACGAGCCAATGCGCGAGCAGCAATAATTCCTCGAGGATTGAAAGCTCGGAAAACAATCCGAATCCTCATCATACGCGTACGAATTCGTCCCTGAACGACGCGATGCCATCGGCCACCGAGAATGGCTATTCGAGGGTGAAGTCGAACGCCACGATGATCGAAGTCACGACGATGAGGAACTTCTCGAGCCTCGACGGAACGACGAGCACCGTTTCGCCTGACGCGACACGTCGGAACGTTTCGATCGATCTTGGTGCAGCGAGCACCAAGAAAAATGTCACATTTGACGATTGCTTGAGGCAATCTTTGAAGGACATCGTGCGAAAGCGATCGAGTCGTAAGGATATTGCGAGGAATAAGGCGAAGTGGCACAGTGAGTTCTTTCGCGCGACGCGAAAGAACAATGAGATCGACGATCGCGACAGGACATTTAGGCCGCCGACAAATGAATTTTGGCAATATGTAACGTTCCCCACGAAGGCTCCGTTAACTGTTGGCAGTGTCGCAAGTAGACTTAAAGCAAAACGGAAGTCGCAAAAACGTGCGAAGCTGAGCAATGACGTTTATGAAAGCTTTAGACGGTTTTACGGCGTCGACAAGAACGAAAAAGATATAAAGTAAATGTGCGTTGCTTCGATATCGCTTCGAAACAATTGGGAAGTTTATTTCTTTCCGAACCATCTTTGCCCTGTGCACTTTTGAACATTCAAAACTGCGACATTCGAAATGATCGACAGAAAGATGTGGAAGACAACGTCATTTTCGGATGCATAGCTTCAAATGCTTTGGCGAGAAGGAGTGCAATTTTTATTATAAAGTCTCACTTAAATAATTTGATTTTATATATATATATATATGAAATAAAAAACATATAAATTATGTAATATAAATATGAATAAAAATACAAGTTATATTATTATAATTATATATTTTATATTTTATACATTTTCAAAAAAATGCGAACAATGAGAAGACGATATCTCCAGCGTAAGAGAAAAAAAGAGAAGAAAAAGGAGAAGATAACTTGCTAAAAGAATATCATAACGTATGCTATATTCCATGCATTTTTCACAATGTTCTTTCACGATCTTATCATCTGGCAGATCAGGTTTTGCTTTAGGCGAACAACGCCCATGTCTCGTAGAAAATCTCAATAAAATTGATCTTTCAATATATCTTCTTCTGATATATTCTTACATGAGCGACATTTGCGCGAAACGGTTTGCCGATTTTCGATGTCTGTCTTGCAGTAAATTCGAATAAAGCTTGTTCTATTTTCTATTAAAATCATATATCGGTCTAGCTGCATTGTCACATAAAATGCACATGCATAAAAAAAAGAATAATACCGAGACAAGATGACAAATGTGAGCAGGATGGTGCATTAATTACTTTTGTTTTGTATTTAATTTAATCTTTCAACTTTTACGGCTCACAAAAACTCTAATAAATCTGGAAAAAAATGGGATCATTATTTTTTGTACATTGTAGAGTTAGAAAAACTAAAGGTTAGATTTTAGGGTTGAGGTTTATCCTCTTTTTCCCCTATGAATTGTTTCGTATATATATATATACGTATGATTGTACCTCACGTAACGCGCCGTTTATTTCGCTACTCTATTTCGTCGTCTCGTTGTCTTTCGTCACCTGTTGTTTTCCGAAGATCGAGACGTAAAGAACGCGAAGCACGTTCGGTCGGTGACGGCACCTGTGATCCGCGTCACGACGTTTCGATATATCTATTTTCGATGCACGTGTTGCGCGCCCGCATGAAGAATTCGCCTGCTCCGCCAAGGATCGAAATTTATATCGACATGATGGGACGTATAACGGCATTATACATACGTTCGATTTCGCAGGCTGCATCGGCGGCGATTGTACCGCGAGCTTTTCGCTCCGCGGGGCTGAGTTATGGCGACTCGAGCTTCGATAAAAGCGGATTTTATCGTCGCGTGCGATGAGCGCGACGAGGTGCGCCAATTTAGCGAAATAAGCGCGTGAAACACGTTTTTTCCAGAATAAATCACGGCGATACGTCTAATAGAGAGACAAAAGGCCGCTTCATCCGGTCTGCGCCGGTGTCTGAAATTCAAACGGTGATCTTTTCGAATTAATATAATAAGCGCGGAAATTCTTGGCGGCGAACGAGAAAGTGACTCCCTCCTCCCCCCCCCTCTCTCTCTCTCTCTCTCTCTCTCTCTCTCTCTCA